TATTCCCCATAGCCACTAGAAGGAACTCAGACCTTCTGTACTTTGATTTTAGCCCAGTGATTTTGGATTTATGACGTCCACAATTGCAAAAGAACTCATTTGTGTTGTTTTAAGTCACTGAGTTTGTGGTAATTTCTCATGGCCATAATAGAAAACTACTAAATTGAGTAACAGGAAAGATGAAAAAGCAGACATGTTTAGAGATAAAGTAGAAACTAAAAAAAAAAAAAAAAAGTTCAGAAAAAGTTAAGTACAATTTAAGCCAATAATTTTTAAAACTTTTAAAGTAGAAACAATTTGAATGAAAAACATACACTACCAAAAGTAATTCAAGAAGAAATTTTTAAAAAGTAGATTTATGACCATTAAAATTATTTGATAATTGGAAATGAAAATCCCTAAAGAGTTAGTAATAGAAAGGAATTTTTTAACCTGCATGTGTACCCACTACAAAATTAGAAACAAGACACATGCTGAGATGTATTTATAAATAATATAACCAAAAGATTTTAGAAATTAAGGTTAGATGGGGAACTCTTACAAATAAATAAGAAAACATCCAAAATAAGAAGAGACAAGGACATAAAAGGCAATTCAAAAAGAAAAAATAGGAATGGCCACTGAATATATAAAACGTCAACATCCGGCCGCGTGCAGTGGCTCATACCTGTAATCTCAGCACTGGGAGGCGGAGGTGGATGGATCACGAGGTCAAGAAATCGAGACCATCCTGGCCAACATGGTGAAACCCCGTCTCTACTACAAAATTACAAAAGTTAGCTGGGCGTGGTGGTGGCACGTGCCTGTAGTCCCAGTCACTCGGGAGGCTGAGGCAGGAGAGTTGCTTGAAACCGGAAAACGGAAGTTGTAGTGAGCTGGGATCATTCCACTGCACTCTAGCCTGGGGATAGAGTGAGACTTTATCTCAAAAAAAAAAAAAAAAAAAAAAAAAAAAAAAAAAAAAAAAAAATCAACATCCACAGAACTCAAGGAAATCAAATTCAAAGAAAGTATTATTTCATTTCTATTAGATCAACAAAATCTAAAATGTCTGAAAACATTAAGCATTGGTAGGAAGATATGGAGATAAACCTATTGCACTTTTCCAGATGGAGAAAAACACCACACAGAGAACTTAGGAGAACCATTTGCCTAAACCAGTTACAAATATACACATATTTAAAAATCCAGCAATACAAATTTCTGATATTCAAGAGAGTCAATATGTAAACTAGGAGGCATTTACAAGGATGCTCACTGCAACACTCTTTAAAAATAAGTATAATCAATAGTGGAATGAAAAAACAGTGGTTTATCCGTGCAATGAAAGTATTAGCTGTTACGAGCAAATAAGTGGTCCTATACATATTTCCTTAGATGAATCTGACAAAATGTTGACGTAAAAGCAGAACGATACATACTGCATGGCACTATCAATAAGAAATCTCAAAATACAAACATAATGTAGCATATTGTTTTGTAATACATGCCTGCAAAGGTTAAATTCTAAAAGACATGCATGAAATCTTCCCAAGAGTGGTTACTATCTTTGAAAGAGTAACAGGAACAAGGGCTATTATTCCAGCTTTGTCTGAAATGTTTGAAAGAGAGAGAGAGAGAGAGAGAGAGAAAGAGAGAGAGAGAGAATATTTTTAGAAAACATAGCAAAATTAAGCATCTGTTTATCTGTTTATTCTCATTGCTGGATACAAAGGTGTCTGCTATATAATTTTCTGTACTTTTTCACATGATAATTATTTAATACATTAAAAAAATATTTTTTAGATGGACAGCAACAACCACAGTTTTTACTGTCTTCACCAGTCCATAGAATGGAGAATAGCACCTTTATTGCCAATGACTTTGCCAGATGTATTTCTGGTAGGCCACATAAATGCCAATAAAGATCCAATTGGAAAAAAACTCTAATTTATGAATAAAAGGATGTTCAGCCTGAAATAAACAACCTGAGACTCCTTCCCCTGAACCACAATGCATACTTTTTCAACACACAAAACGAGAAAGTGAAAAAAAAATTCAATCAGTTACCTCTTAGCAAAGGGAGATGTGCCCGCAAGATGTCAGTATTTTGTGACTATGAACTCCCCTGGGCTCTCAAAGTTATTTTACTTTCTTTTCTAGTAGTTTGAAAAATTGAAGAAGAAATTGGGATAGTATTTATGTCTGATTGGAGTGGCTTTCAGTGGACTGAAATATTCAAGAATAAAGTAGAATACAGTGCCTAGGTTGGAATTCGTGGTCAGCACGGGAGGAAGGCTGCTGTCAAGGATGTGAGAGAGAGGAAGAATTGGGAAGAGCTGGAAATCTCAACAGTGATTCTGTGGCTTCATACAGATGTGAGTTTCAGGATTTCTATAAAGAACCAGGAAGAGTGTGGGGACAGTTTGCCATAGAATAACTCAATTATTCCCATTTGGATTTCTTTATGGGGCAGTGCAGCAAAAATACAGCTTTTGCAATTTGGTGCTTTTACATAAACTGCTTTACCAGACGAAGTTTCAGCATAAAGTGGAACAGAATCTTAATTCTTTCAATGTCCAAAGACGGAAATATTTTTGTTTTGGACATTTAACTATTAATAGTTTTTAATATTTTCACTGATAAAGCAACATTCTGTGAGAGGCCTTGTCTTCCTGATAACTACGAAAAATTATAGAATTGCACAAAACAGTACACATGCACTCATGGCAACAGCATGACCAAATATTTGAATTTAGAGGGCCCATGAATTCTTCCACCTTAGAACTTCTAATAAAATTAAGCATAGAGTTTTGCTGCTACTGTTGACACTCACACAACTGGAGAAAATACAGAACTTGGGAGTCTTTTTTTTAAATCTCATGTGTCTGAGCTTTGCCATTGTGAAGTTACCAGTTCCTGGGTAAGTAGGAAGGATGGAAGGTGATGACTTCTGGTTTGTCTCCTGTGTCTAAGCCAAGGACTAGTAAGCAGCTTCACCTTAGACTCAGGTTGGTGGCAAGTGAACAATCAAAACATGATCGAATATTCCCAATCAAAGCCATGATTCAGAATAAATTTATTTCAAATAAGCCCCTCAGATTTATCACAGATCAATTTACTAAACTTGGAAATTTTAAATGATTAATATCCTTCTAACAATTCCTTCAATATTGTTTTATGCATGTCCTTTACCAGATATAATACTTTGTCATTTGTTAATTAAATTATAACAAGGGGCAAAACAATGTTTAGGATAGGACCAATTTCCCAACCTAGGGGTTATCACAGCACATTCATGCTTGACCCACCCAGAAACCACATTTCAGAGGCAGCTTCTATACAGAACGGAGGGACCCTGCACTTGGACTGTCAGGGTACAGAGTGGGGTTATTTCAACAGGAAGGAAATCCTGCCGTCATACTGCTTCCCAGACTACTGTGGGTATTAATGGTCTCCATCTACTTAGGTACAAATAATCGCAAACCAGAGCATGGCTACTTGTCAGCACTCAGAGGCGAAATGCGACAGAGGAGTCGATGCCTCAAACAATGAGAAACTCTTCCTGGCACCACTCGGTGATATGTTATTTTGACCTTTCAGAAAGAACTGGAAATGCTTTAGAGAACTTGTCTGCACTTTCTTTTTTTAGCTATCTCTGGGTCCCTTTATATTAATTCATCCGTTAAGACAGTGAAACCAGGGGCTGGGTTCACACACATAATTCCAGCACTTTGGGAAGTCAACATAAGGAGATCACTTGAGACCAGGAGTTTGAGACCACTCTGGACAACGTACAGAGACTCCATCTCTACAAAATAAAATAAAAAATTAGCAAGGCCTGGTAGCTCGCAACTGGCGATCTAGACATTTGGGAGGCTGAGGTGACAGGATTACTTGAGCCTAGGAGTTCCAGGCTGCCATGAGTTATGTTTGTGCCACTGCACTTCAGTGTAGGTGACAGAGAGAGAACCCGACTCTAAAATAATTTTGTTTTAAATTAAAATTTTTAAAACGACAGTGAAATCACATGAAAGGTTAACATCTAAATTCCATACAATCACATAACAGTATACAAAAAATTTAGCCGCAACTTCTGTGGTATTGATATGCACAAAATTATTGAAACCTTTAGATAACACATTCTGTGGGAGTAGATTATAGCACTGTATCACTTGTATCACAGAGAGATCTGGTATGCTTATCATGACAAACAATATCTTTCGCTTATCGTTAAAAATAAAAAAAAACATGCCCAGCCACAGAATGTAACCAGTGAGACTGAATATTTTGGATCAATGGGATAGAAATGTGATATCAGGACAATTCGTGAACACATGATCTAAGAAGTACAATTCTACTTCTGGAGGTAACAAGACTGAATATCCTGATCTTCTTCAGTCTAGTAAATAAAACTTAACATGAGATTTTGAAAGGATGACATTTTATTCCTGTTAGAATTTCATAAAAACATAGTCAACTGAACAGCTTCTGAAAGTCAAGGACTGATTTTTATCCTTTGATTTTGAAGTAGCTTTACTTATTGTAGAACTTAACTAGGACCCTAGAACTCAGTAAGGAGGAAGAAAGAGATGCAGTAATTATTTAGAATAGGACTGCCTTTCACAGAGAAGTCAAAGATCTGAGGATTTTTCCATTAAATTTAATGAGTTTCTGATGGCACAAAGTAAATATATGCTAAATGAATGACTACTTTAAATGGGTCCCCACAATTATTCCATTGAATAATATCAATGTATGTCAACTGGTTCAACTGCAATTCCCCTCAGCTACGACCCTCAATAGAAACTGCTTTTCTTGTATCTCTTTTCTAGGTTCTGTCTGGCCTAATGACGAGGGAATGACAGCTAGGCAAAGTAAAGATTTGGGGTGAGCCAGACATTTTTTCTCATCTGTACGTAGACATGTAGTTTGTAAACATAAGACTCAATTTCCTGTTTGGGGAGATAGCATCAGAACCCAGGAACTATATACACACCACAGAGCCCTCGGAGGCACTAAACTCTGAGCTTGAGGCGGCACAACTCACATTTGTGCAGAGAGCTACAAGCCACATGCAGTTCTCCAACCTGCTGTGCATATTTGTGGCCTTCAGCTACTCTGGTATGGACGGTTCCAAATGTGGGTAAAAATGTTAAGGATGGGAGGATTACAAACAGGCATGTGGTATTTCTCACGGACTTGAGAAGGAAAGGAGAAAATGCAGAAAAGCGAGCATACTATGATTTTAATTTGGTTTGTCGCCGGCTCCTAAATTAGTCTAGTTTTTATAATATTTTTTTCACTACATCAAAGGATCAGCTCTGTTTTCTGATTTTTCCCACAGGATTCAGTGTGGCCCAGAAGGTTACTCAAGCCCAGCTACCAATATCCATGCCAGTGGGGAAAACAGTCACCCTGAACTGCCTGTATGAAACACGTCAGAAGTTTTACTGTATCTTGTGGTACAAGCAACTTCCCAGCAGAAAGATAGTTTTCCTTATTCGCCAGTGTTCTTCTGACCAGAATGTAAAAAATGATCGCTATTCTGTCAACTTCCAGAAAGCAAGGAAATCCATCGACTTCATCATTTCAGCCTTACAGCTAGAAGATTCAGCAACGTATCTCTGTGCTCTCTGGGAACTCACAGTGTTTGAAGTGGCAGTAAAAGCAAAACAAAAACCCTAGGCTCAATAAGAGAACCCCTCTACTCCCATCCTTTGCTACAGGAGCCAATTGGCAATGCACACGTGCAGATCTCAGGCAAGAGAAGGCAGCAACTGCAGTCTGTGGATTTCATCTGTGGTCTGGATCAGATGATTTAATTCTAAGTAAAACCTCCTTTTATATCATTTGGAAACAGGTGTTCAGAGGAACTTTCTTCTAATACTTAAATTTTTGCTTAAAATATATCATGCAGAAAATGTGTAAAGTCTAAAGTTGGAAAGACTTACCACATAATAACTTAAAGTGGCAGTTTCACTTAACGATGCTCACAGCAGAAATCTGGGTCTAGTTATCCGGAATCATCATAAAATCATTGCCTTAGCCCTTTCCTTTTAGGCTTTATGTCAATTAGGGTACAATCAGAGAAGCAGAACCACCATGAAAGATGTAGAATAAGATGTTATAAAGATTGAAACTCATGCAATTTCTGGAGCTGGTGGCTCTCAGAAATTACTGAGTTGCTCATATTTTATGAAATTGTAACAGGAATAAAATGCAATCTTTTCAAAATCTGACACTGAGTTTTATTTGTTGGACTGAAGAGGATCGGGATATTCAGTCCTGTTGCCTTCAGAAGTAGAATTGTACTTCTTAGATCATGCGTCCTAGGATTGTCCTGATATTGCATTTCTATCTCATTCATCCAAAGTATTCAGTCTCACTTATTACATTCTGTGGCTGGACATGTTTTTTATTTGTAAAATAAAGTTGTGATAAGCATGCTAGCTCTCTCTGTGATACAATGCCATAATCTACTCTTAATCCTATGCAAAGCTGTTGCCTTTGCATCTAGTATTGAGCCTGAATTTACTCTGGGTCAGCTAGACTAACATTTAGGAAGGAAAGTTGTCTAACATTTAGACAAGAGCATGCAAAAACTGTGATCTATAAGGACATTTTGGAACCCGTGGTGACAGATGGAACCCATGAGGACAAACTAAAACTTGTCTGTCTCTTATCTCCTTCAATCTCATAGTGGTGGTGATCTTCAGAAGAAATGATGTTATTTGCTATCATGCTCTCTGGGTACTTGGCCCAAGAAAAAGAGAAGCTGAAGTAGGTGATCTGGGGGGTAGTGGAGGAGTTGTGAGTCAACAATAAGATGAGTTAGCAGATCAGTAGCAACATGTGTGAGTTGCCACAGTGCCTGGAGCCTGGCACCTGTCTTGAACAACTTTTTTTCAACTTAATTGAGAACAATATAGGGAAGGAATTTCTTGGAAATATGTTTCTAGGTAGTTACGATGAGATAACACAAAGTTACCACAGTACCCCCACCTTGTAAACTTGACATCCGTATGTGTCTCTTTAAATAACACTTAGCTTTCAAATAACGAATTTTAAAAAGCAAGCTTCCTGTCAAGATGATGTCACTATTCTTCATTCAACCACAAACACCCTAACTCTCTCCCCCAAAGAGAATACAAAGTATATTTATTCATCTTTGGGTGATATTCTTTCCTCTTCCAGCTGAGTCATACTCTCCCATTGATATCTTGTTGTTTAGCTTCTGAGATATGAGATATAAGATTAATTTATTAACATGCCTTTCACTACCATGTATAGGCAAATGAGAGGAGAGTAAAAAATGGTTAACGTGTATTTTAATATTTTCATATCACAATTCAAAAGAAATGTTTACAACATTATAGTCTTTTTTCCCACAAATTGTCACATGATTGTAGCTGGTTTCTATAACTACCATTTCCATAACCCATTTCTTCACTTACTCATTTCATAATCTGTTTGTTTTAGCAAGCGCCTCCACTCACTGGTACACTTGACTTTCTATAAAACAAGCTCCTTGGTCAGGAGCAGTGCTATACAGAATGTCGTAAGTTGAATTTGGTATTCTCTAAGTCTACCACTGTGGTTCTGCCAGAAGCATTGCAGATGTGGAAGGCAAGTCCATATTCAAAGTGTCTAAGTGAAATAAAACAAAACAGAACTTGCCAACAGCCAGAGAAAGTTGATATATCATGATCTGGAAAATGTCTTTAAGAATAATGCCTGAATTCTCATCAAAATTAACAAAAGCCAAAGAGGAAAAAGTATTTTTAAAGTACTTATAGAACAAAAGAAAACTCTCTAGCTAGCTCCCTGTGAACATGAAAGTCTAATTTTAACCTCTTTGTCAAAAATCATTGTTAAGAAGGTGGAAAGTCAGTGCACAGTTGGAAAATTACATTTGCATTGGTATATTTCTGAAAAAGATTCAAATGCAGAATATATAAAAAACTTGTACAAGTTAATAAGCAACGAAAAACCAATACAAATCGCAAAAACTTGAAGAGACACTTGAGAAATATGTTATCTAATAGTTATAAGTGTACAAAAAGCACTTAATATAATTACTCATTAGGTAAATGAAAATTAAACACTATTGAATGATCCACTTGTGCCCTTTCAGCACCCAAATTGTATTAATGTAGCCAGAAGGAAACGATCACAAGAGGATAATGAAAAATAGTCACTACTTCCAGGGAAAGGGATGGCTAAGTAGGTTTTCTAGAAACTTCTGTTAAATTAAGTTTAGCCTAAAGCTGCCTCCTTATTTATTTTAAGCTCAGGGCAAAGGCTTCTCCATACATAGTTCTCTGTAACCTAACAGGATACGTAAACAGGCTGAAGTCTACTCTCTACCAACCCCTAAGTTTTGGCCATAGGTGGCTAACTGTTCAAATTACATTCAAATAAGGCAAATGCCAAGCTATCACCAATCCAGCTGTTTCTGTACCTTACTTCCTTTTTCTATAACTCACTTTACTTTTTCTGTCCGTAACTCTTCTTTGACCATGTGGCAGTGCCAGAGTCCCTCTGAATCTGTTCTGGTCTGGGGCACTGCCTGAATCTCTAATGGTTCTTTGCTCAATTAAACTTTGTAAAATTTAATGCATCTAAAGCAGGCGTCCCCAAACTACGGCCCGCGGGCCACATGCGGCCCCCTGAGGCCATTTATCCGGCCCTCTGCCGCACTTCAGGAAGGGGCACCTCTTTCATTGGTGGTCAGTGAGAGGAGCACAGTATGTGGCGGCCCTCCAAAGGTCTGAGGGACAGTGAACTGGCCCCCTGTGTAAAAAGTTTGGGGACGCCTGATCTAAAGCTTTTCTTTAACACTTCCATCATTGAAGCATGTTCAATGGAAGAAGAAAAAGCAGTAATAGACACCAGACTGGGACACAGACAGAAAAGCAGGTTTTACTAGGAAAAAAGAAAGTTGATATTTATTGGCCGTCCTATATGTCAGGTGGCACTATTTATACATTTCATATTATTATCTAATTTAAGCATCATACACCCTACGAGATAGGTTTTAGTGTTCCAATTTTTTATATTTGGGAAATGAGACACAACTTTCCCTAACTTTGAAAAGCATCTCTAACTAAAATCAGCCAGGTGTAACATCTTAGAGGGCTCCGAAAAAGCAAAGTTTGGACTATGGAGAAGCAACTGGCCCCAAAGCAGCATTGGCTTTCTCAGTGAGGGTGACAAGATGATGCCCAATCTAAGCACAAACTGCTTCATGATCAACAGACTGGGGAAATCACCGACTAAGCATTTGAGAGTCCTGAATGTATTAGCAAGTCTCTTCCACAGTAGTGCGCTGTGAAGCACAAGAGGCTAGAGGGAAAGACGGGATACTATGCCTTAAACACTCCAAGTGGGCTTCTCTATCAGGACCTTTGCCCTTGGCCTTTGCCCACTCTGCCTGCAAAGCTGTACCCCCACAAAACTTCATGGTGTACCTCTGAACTCCTCTATGGCTTTACGCAAAAGTCACCACCTTGTGAAGCCTTTATCAAAATCTTTCATTTATATTTTCCTTCTTTGAGAATCAGGCTCTAGCATAGTCCATGTGTTGAGAACTAAAGCACCAAGTTCTGAAGCACTGCCACCTGGTGTCCCACGAAACTATTTGGTGAGGTTTACGCTGGCCTCCCTGCTGCCCTCCAGTGTTCGTGGGCTAAGTTGTGGTGAAGCCTGGTTCCAACAGGAGCTAACATTTCTGAACCAATGTCAGTAACCCTCCCTTACAGTAACAATGTGAGACAGGATTCAGCAGGACTGGCTGGGATTTTTTTTTCATTTTTAAAATCTTTTCCCTGAATATGTGAAGACGAGTGATTTCAAAATGACAAATGTAATATTTGGGATGATTTAGGCTAACAGAATACCTTGGAAACAAATCTTGGCATTATTGCACGAAAGTGGGAGCTTTTTCTGTATTAAGTGAGAGTTCGTCTACTGCTGTCCCTTACTGTCATATAGAAATATCTTAAGAAGTGGGAGCAAGAGTCAACGATGCAGAAAAATAAGCCACTGTACGGAACTCCGTGTAGCCTACTCTATCCACGTTATCATATGTCTCCCAACCTCCCAACAAGCATCATAATCCAACTGATTTCCAACTATCAGTAAGAAACATGATAGAACATGGATATTTATTACAGTAAATAAAATATGCTATGCAAGTTGCAAAATATCTCTTGGAAAAATACTGAGTTTTATCTTGTAGATAGACTGCACTGCAGTTTCAGATTGTGTCAACCCCCTCCCCCCCAATATTTTTTATATTGAAGGTATCTGGTTGAGTGCCTGAGACACAGAAGTTATTGTACTAGATTATTTATTAGGTTGCACAAAAGTAATTTCTGTTTTTTTCCATTACTTATAAAGTAATGGCATAGCTATTACATAGGCTTGGATTGGATTTCTGGACCTACCACTCATTGGTTGAATTATCTTGACCAAATTACTTAATAACTTTTATGCTTCAGTTTCCTTATCCCTACAATGTGGATATTGATAGTACTTACTACTAAGGGTTATTTTGAGAAATAAACAAGATGACAAATCCTAATGCTTAGCCTGGTACCAACAAGAAGCTACTGGTTACTTACAGAAAAGGAAATTGAATACGAGAAACGTTTAATGTCTTGCCTAGCATCACAAAGTGTCAGAGTTGAGCCTTTCCTCCATCCCCTATGTAGAGCAGATACCTTTTCTCACCCAAAGAATAACTCTCTATCTCATTACAGTTTTATATTGTCTTCATAGAGCTTATCACTATGTAGAATTATCTTATTTTTAAAAAACTCATTTATTTAGTTTCTTTTCACTGCATGCTAGCCCCTTTTCTATTTCTTCACTACCATGTTCTCCATGCCTAAAATAATGCCTAGCACACAGGAGACATAATCAATATATGTTTGTTGAGTGAGTTCATGAAAGGTAAAATTATGTCCAGAGGTCTTGCAATTCAAATATTAATATAAAAGTTTAAGCTGGATTGATCTTTGTGTTATTTATCCAGAATTGTCAGGATTTCTACCCTGTAAGTCTCTTAATGTAATATTTAAATAAGTAAATGCTAAACTAGTGAACGCTAGCTATTGGTTTATCTCCATTGCTTTTTTTTACACTTTTGGTGAATTAATAAATAATTTACTAAAAATTTTTACTATAAATCCCTCACTTTACTCATTGGGGAGATAAGGTGGAAGAAATTTTGAGATATTTTTCTCTGTAGTACATGCATCTTGTCTTTTATGTGCAAAAGTTTCTCAGAGGCCTCATGTAAATGTATATATATTTATGTTTTAAAAAATTCTGTGCACACACACACACGCACACAGACACACACATACACACACACCTTCCATAAGAATAGATATACAGGCCCACTATTTGCTCAAAACGGAGAAAGTAAATTGACCTTGTTTCTCTTCATTATCAAGGTGGGTACATTTAGAATCCTCCCTTGATATATTAGGCTGTTAAGAATGATAAAGATTGATAGTACTAGTTGAGTTGTTTTGTGGCCAAAGTGAAGAGGAAGGAAACTAGGATCATGCACTCTTCCAGAAAGAGAACCTCATTGTTTACTTTTCCTGTAAGGCTCTATTTAGTTGCCAACAGGCTTGGCTTTTGCTTTACGTCAAATGTGTGGACTCCACCTTGTAGGATTCTGTCCAACTGTTATAGACAGAGGAATTCTCCCTGCTGTTAGAGGTTTGTCCTTCTTGGTCTGGACACTGCTCCTCCAACTTGTGGGTGACTTTTTCAGTGGCTCAGTATTCTCACCAGAAATGAACTCCACAGCATGTAGGCTTTCTGAGTGGTTGTGGCCATGCCTTCACTCTCCTATGATGAAGTAATCTGAATGCTGTGATCTGGAAAAGAAACTACCTTGTCTGGAATGGCTTGCCAAGCAGCCCATCCCTAACCCTAGTCCTCATGCTTCTGTACTGGGAGTCACTATTGAGGCTTCCAGGATTTCCTTTACTACCCATACCTTTATCTCTGTTCCTGGGAAGGAAAGCTAGAAGTTAACCATTGAGATACTTTCTAATCCTGTCCTAATTTTTTAGAGCATGGTTTAAATGTTTGTGGAAAGTGCTGTCCCCTGGTTTTAGTACATACCCCATGCTGTTCCCTTTGCTTATTACAGTTGTTCGCTGGAAAGGTTTTAAAGGCATTTCATACACCAAATACCCAGAGGTTGAATTTATATTCTGAAAAAAATTAATTAATGCTATCTTGTACTAGTAAATTTCCCTTGGATATATCTTATTTCTCCAATTACATTTTGGGCTCACAGGGAAGGGAATGCTGCTTTGTAATTTTTTTTTTCTTTCTTTTCCTTTCCCCTAGATGAGGCTGTAGCTTTGTAATTTTTAATTCCTCACAGCTCCTAGGGAAACTCAAAGCACAAAAATTACTGTTTAAACAAATACAGGTATAATGAATCAAACTAACATTATATCTGGACTGTGACAGAACAAGACAGCGTAATTCTTATTTACTTCTAAATAACTTTATTGGAGTATGTTTGCATTCTATAAATTCATCCATTTTGAATGTATGGTTCAATGATTTTTAATTAATCACTGATCTATGAAACTATTACCATAATTTATTTGTAAATACTTTTCAAAACCCTAGAAAGATCTTTTATGCCAAATTATAGTTAATCTCTAACCCAACCCTGGCCCCAGGCAACCAGCTTATGTCTTTATAGATGTTCCTTTTCTGAACATTTCATATAAATGGAATCACTCAACATGGAATCTTTTGCGTCTGCCTTCTTTGTCTTAAAATAGTATTTTTGAGACTCATCTGTGTTACAGCATATATTCGATGTTTTATTTTATATATTTTATTTTTGCTTATTTATGTTGCTGAATATCATTCATATCTTGTATAAACATACTACACTTTGTTTATTCATTCATCTGCTGATGGACATTTGGGTTGTTTTCATTTTTTTAGCCATTATAAAGGATATCCACAAATTAGACTTCCATTATTTTTAGAACATAGCTAACATGTAAAACATTCATGGTGCATCACAAATGTAGGTGGTATGTCAGATTTCAAATATTATAGAGTCTAGAGCTATAGATATATGTTCTAATTCTGAATATGCCATTAGCTAACTGACCTTGAGTGAATTATTTAATCTCCTTGAGTAAATTACTTAATCTCCTTGAGCTTTGGGTTTTTTTGTTTGTCTGTTTGTAAATTGGAAATGGTACTATCTCTATTTCATGACTTTTGTATTAGAAAATGTACATAAAGAAAAAGGTAGTTTAGCACTTAGATATGTACACATTTATAATTTGAGGGGGATTCAAATGTTGGTTTTTAATATTTGAAGATTCAAAGAAAAGTATTTTTCCTACCAAAAATTACCATCCCACTTGTAACTCCTTCTAAATTTGAATAACAGCAGTCAACAGTAAGGCAGTCACTTCTGAAAGGCTGTTGATTCTCTTTGTGTCGACTCAGGGGGATTTCCTCAATGTTAATGAAGTTGGCTTGAAGAAACAGTTACTTCAACCCCTCTTTCCGAACCACAGGAAACGGAATATAGGGCAGAGTGTTTCTAGGACATTTACAGGAGGTGGTCTCTGATTGGCTGGGCAACCAGATGCAGGATCCTGTTTTCTGAAGCAGAATATTTCCACAGATTTTGGGTGCAAAACATTTTTCTGCTGAGAGCACATGAGCAGGAAACATGGAGAAGAATCTTTTGGCAGCCCCATTACTAATCCTCTGGCTTCATCTTGACTGTAAGTCCAGGAGTTACAGGAGACATTCTGAGTAGTCTTGGGTGATGATGAGGAAACAGGAGGATGCAGTCAGACACCCTAGGTTTTATTTGGGGATGTGTGAAGAAAATGAGAACTCTGTAGAGAGACCAATTTCTATGTCTGACTCTTTCTAACAAACAGGCGTGAGCAGCATACTGAACGTGGAACAAAGTCCTCAGTTACTGCGTGTTCAGGAGGGAGACGGCACCAATTTCACCTGCAGCTTCCCTTCCAGCAATTTTTATGCCTTACACTGGTACAGATGGGAAACTGCAAAAAGCCCCAAGAACTTGTTTGTAATGAGTTTAAATGGGGATGAAAAGAAGAAAGGACGAATAAATGTCACCCTTAATACAAAGGAGGGTTACAGCTATTTGTACATCAAAGGATCCCAGTCTGAAGACTCAGCCACATACCTCTGTGCCATTACACAGTGCTATTCAGACACCTGCAGCCCATACGCAAACCTGTGGCTGGTGTTGCACTGCTACTCAGTATTGACAAAGAACCGTGAGTGGGATGGAAAAGATAGGATGGAAAAGACAAATTCCTTGAATTACAGTTTTTTTTTCAAGAGGATTATGGAAACAGGAAAATAAGCATGCTAGTAATCACAGCTAACTACCACAAAAGCTAATTAAGTAAACCTATTTTTTATGATAGATATCAGAGTGCTAATGAAGCATAATACATTACCTGGTAACTTGGCTGTTACTAAACAATACTAATTCCAACTCCCAACAACACGTTAACTACATCATTGACTCAGACCCATCGTCTGCTCACTTGGCATGATTTCGAAAGGACCCAACAGTCACTCAAACCTATCTAAAACAATTGGGTAAATAAAAGTAATGTTTACCCTCTCATTATCCCTATGTCCTAAAAATGAGTTCTTCTATCGTATTTTTTCCACAAGCACAAATGGAGCATGTGGCATGCCCCCTCCTCACACACCTGGCATGGAAATATGCATGTTTAATACCAGAGCAGGTGATGCTGCCTCCTTTAATCCATTGGGGATTTTGGTTTTGCTTCAGTTCAACTTTCCCCCTACATGAACATTTGCATTTTTATTTCTTCTCACATGTGGCTATTTTCATTTTTAAATATCACTCATAATATCATAAAGGAGCACTGATGAAGGACCTTCACTATTAATATGGTCTATCTCCCAGCCTGTACTGTGATTGTGATATTGGATGACTAACTGAACTCTATTATCAAAGTCTCTTCATTTGTAATTTCCAGGTATATGAAGAAGGTTTAACATCTGGTGCTGGTGCTCTGCTCTTTCTGCAGATTTCCAAACAACCCATCAGTTTAAGGTTCCACTGGTACTCTAGAGGCCTCTAATTCCAAGCTTCCTTGGGGGGTTAAATGAAGTAACTTGCTTCTGGGCCTCCTCATCTAAAAGCTGGAGTTTCAGCTTTCTGTAAACATCTACATTAATCATTTCTTATCCAACTCCTGTCCAGTTTCCTAAATTATGCTGCTATTGCACTTTCTCTCTCTTTTGTGAATTCGTTTTTTAAATCTTATTATTGTTATCATATATTTAGAAAAAACTATATATTTAAAAAATAATACTAGAGTGTATACACATCCCTTAGACTGAATCCATTTAGAGATATATACATAGAAATATTTTTTTTCAAACTTTATTCACAAGATAGTAATGAGTCTATTTGACCATCAGATTGGGAGAGGCTAAATTTGTAATATTATCTGAACACATACAGAATCGGGAGCATATAGCTCAGGACTAAGTGCAGAGAAGCTACAGTTCATTGTACACTACTGTTGGTGGAGAAGAACTACGCAAAAGAAGACTGATCACTCTTCCAGCTGCTGGACAAATTTCCAAACCAGCTCTCCATTATTATTGTCAAAAAGACCAATGGAAGAACTTCTAATATTTCCAGCAATGATCTTGTAGTTTGAACTAACTCTGAATTGGTAGAATCAAAAGCCTGGATAAAAGAAAAGATGAACCCCTGGCTCATTTGTGCATGGCTGCAACACGATGCCTCAGTCTCCTTCATGTCAAAGCACACATAGAAACTGATTACATTCATGCAACACTTCAGTGTGGAATGACGCTGCTTGAAACCAGCCCATGATTCCAACTTCCTTGAGAACTCTGCCTGCCTTAGGCTGCGATGATATAGAGATCTTCCCACACACTTGATCAATTCCTGGATATACTGATATGTAATTTGGAAAATCTGTTATAAACATAAGAAAAATGTAAATCTGTAGTGCTAGGTCCTTACAAAAGTATCTACGTATTTATGAAAGCTGTATGTAACCAAGTAAATATGGATCAAAATTTTCAGTCTCTTCAGATTCTAAAACTGATCTTAAAATTGAAAATAATGTGGTTAAATTCTGATTATTTATAGAGACACAGATAGGTGTGTTCTTGCAAATTTGTTAGTTTAGCCATGTGGAATGAGAAGAGTGAGTGAGATATAAAAATCATGTTAAATAAGAAACACAGATTTCTGTTGATTGCAGGGCCCAAACCTGAGCAATCAGCCACCTGATCCTGTGCTGTGGCAGTGCAGAGTTCTTGTTACCTCTCATCATTTCCACCAGGTCTTCTGGGAAGGTGCAGAAGCACAAGGAAGGTTTTTGAAAAGAAGTTAAAATTGTTAGCTTTGTCTTCATTTTGAGATCCCTAATCCAGTATTCCTAAGAAGGAAAAAGCATCCCAATGTTGTGCATTTCAAATTTCTTAATTCATGGGATTTGTAATTTTTCAGCATATTCTAAAACTGCTTCTTGGTCTGTTTCCATTTCATGCAGTAATTTAGATTTAGATTCACTTTTGACCCTACACAAAATATTGAGATTTCTGCCATTAAGACATTTACATGGGAACACTTTCAAGGCATTAGATTTCTTGTAGTGGGTGAATGCTGGCAAAAGATATGTCCTATGTCCTAATCCCTAGAAACAGGGAATGTGGTGTTATTTGAAAAAGGGTCTTTGCAAATGTAATTGAGTTAAGAATATCAGGAACAAGATCACCTGGATTATTAAGGTAGGCCCTAAATCCAATGACAATTGTTCTTTTAGGAAACATACAGATGAGGCTGTGTGCAGTGGCTCACAACTGTAATCCCAGCACTTTGGTCTAGGCAGATGGATTACCTGAAGTCAGGAGTTCAAGACCAGCCTGGCCAACATGTTGAAACCCTCTCTTTACTAAAAATACAAAAATTAGCCAGGCATGATGGTGAACACCTGTAATCCCAGCTACTCAGGAGGCTGAGGCAGGAGAATCGCTTGAACCTGGGAAGCAGAGGTTGCAGTAAGCCAAGATCAGACCACTGCACTCCAGCCTGGGTAACAGAGCAAGACTCTGTCTCAGAACAAAAGGAAAAAAAAAAAAAAAAGGAAACACACAGATGAGAACGGCACCTAAAGACAGAGATAGAGGTTGCAGTTGTGCAGCCACATCCAAGTAATGGATGCCTGGAGCCACTGGAGGCTGGAAGAGATGGGGAAGGATTCTTCTCTAGAGCATTCAGAGGGAGCATGGCCCTGCTGACACCTTTTCTGGCCTCTGGTGCTGTAAAGAAAATAAACTTTTGTCAAGCCACCAAGTTTGTTTGCTATAACAACCCTAGGAAACTAGTATCTCCCAAAGGTAATATTTCTTTTTTTTTTTTTTTTTTTTTTTTGAGATGGAGTTTCGCTCTTCTTACCCAGGCTGGAGTGCAATGGCGCGATCTCGGCTCACCGCAACCTCCGCCTCCTGGGTTCAGGCAATTCTCCTGCCTCAGCCTCCTGAGTAGCTGGGATTACAGGCACGCACCACCATGCCCAGCTAATTTTTTGTATTTTTAGTAGAGACGGGGTTTCACCATGTTGACCAGGTTGGTCTCGATCTCTCGACCTCGTGATCCACCCGCCTCGGCCTCCCAAAGTGCTGGGATTACAGGCTTGAGCCACCGCGCCCGGCCAATATTTCTAAATGACTACAACCAAACTTTTTTTTTTATAGACGGGCACATGGCAAACCAATACCATTTGAATATGGCATTGGTTCTAACATCTTATTTTTTGAGATATTTTTAGTTTAAATAATCACATGGTATACATATAAACACACACTTTTATTTATCATTTAATGAACACTTGAGTATCCATAATTCAACAGCTATTAGAGTAGGATGTGTTGGTGAATAATAGACAAATACTTATTAAGGGCTTACCACATATCAGGAGTATACTAGTGATCCATCAGCAAACAAAAGAAATGAAATTTCTTGTTTTCATAGACCCTATATTCTAGAGTAGTACTGTCGCATAGAATTTTCAAAGATGATAAAAATGTTCTGCATCTGTATGGAGTCACATATGGATACTCAGCACTTGAAATGTGGCTAGTGTGAATGAGAAACTAAATTTTAAATTTTATTTAATTTATATTTAATATCCTTATATGGCTAGTAGCTACCACATAGGACGGTGCTTTAAGATGATACAGTGCACACCTTCAAGGTACAAAAAGGCTAACTCAGATAACTAATCAGTAGTTATACAGGTGGAGTATAAACACTGTGAAAAGTGTGACTGAAGTTCTGTGGAAGTCCAGTTTTTTTAAGTTACTTTCTGTTTTTGTCTTCTAACCTTTCCCACCACTTACTGCAGCTGTTTATCAGCCAGATCAGAACAGGAAGCTACTTTATCCAAGTGTTTTGTTTTCAGGAAGCCTTCCTATAGAAATTGATTATTTGTTAAACAAGACTTTTTTTCTAATTATATTAATGTCTTTCCCTCGTCATTGCTGACGTGTAAAAGTAACATAATGGGATGGTAGATATGATCTCTAAATTGGGATAATTTACCAGGGAAATCTGGGTGGCAAGAGAAATATGTATTTCTTTTCTTCTGTTTTGAGGTAATGGGTTGTCTAACAATAATTCACGAGTGTCTCTCACATTTATTAAAATGTCTGTGACCTAATATGTCCCATGAGCACGCTTACAAGCACAGGCTACCTGGCACAACATGATTCTTAATGACAATGGAAGCGACAAAATGGGAGTTTCTCTTTTCCTCAGATGCCCTAGTTTTAAATCACAGACTCCGTTTTTAAGAGGCAAATTAATGTCACTACAGGCAAACTCTTTCCTTCCAATCCTTGACACACATACATACCACCTAAACTAGAAGGCAACTTTACTAATAAAAGAATCGGTTGTCAAGTCAGCAATGTTTGAGTCCAGCCACAGGGGGGTAGCATCAGCAAACGTAGACTCTCTTTTGAAGTGGGTGGGCAAAATAGCCTGACTGGCTTTCTTACATTGCAGTCATCTCTTCCCCTTTCTTTCCAAAACGCACACATCTACTTTCCAAAATAGACCACAACTATTTCTATTGAGCTGCAAGAAGCTTGTACCAGGCAACCCATTTAGGAGCAGTTGGATGACGAGGGAGAGGGAGATGCTGCTCATCACATCAGTGTTGGTCTTATGGACGCAATTGCCACGTGAGTTTGAGACTTCCCTGATTGCTTCCAGAGAATAAATCCAACAGGGTAGAGAAGTATCTGCAGGCAGGGAATGGACTTTCTGTTTGAGAAACAAGAAGAGATAGAGATAGAGAGAGAGAGAGAGAGAGAGAGAGAGAGAGAGAGAGAGAGAGAGAGAGAGACAGCATGAATAAAGATTGAGGGAGATGGGAAGAGAGACATGGAAAGAAGGGGGAAAAAGAAAAAAGGAGTGAGAGAATCGTGCGTAGCTCAGGGACTAGAGATCTAATCTGATTTTATGTGATGCTTCCCACTGTCTTTCTAAACAGAGGTGAATGGACAACAGATAATGCAAATTCCTCATTTCCAGCATGTACAAGAAGGCGAGGACTTCACCATATACTGCAATTCCTCAAGCGCTTTAAGCAACTTACAGTGGTATAAGCAAAGGCCTGGGGGACATCCTGTCTTCTTGATAAAGTTAGTGAAGAGTGGAGAAATGATGAAGCAGAAAAGACTGACATTTCGGTTTGGAGAAGCAAGAAAGAACAGCTCCCTGCTCATCACAACCACCCAGACTACAGATGTAGGAACCTACTTCTGCACAGGGGCACAGTGCTTCCCAACCACCTGCTGCCTGCCTCTAAATCTTGCCCTGGGTCTTCAAGAGCAGACTATCCTACTCTCCCCGAAGAGCAGGAGGCAGAGAAAGCCGAAGTCACAATGCCCGTGAGGATCTCGAGCAACTCTTTCCCACAGCATAAGGATGCATGTAGA